TACGACTCTTATATGCAGCAGGACTCCTTTTGGTAAAGTGAGTGTATTTCTCCTTTGATTTCATCCATTGAATAGAAAATAATTCTACCGTATACATTTAATAAATTATTTTTACTTTTACAGTTGATCAAAAGGAAAAAATATTTATGCGTTGATGAGGTGGCAAGAAGGAAAAATTTCATATATAGTTTTGATTGTTTGGACAACGGACCGCCATGTTTTACCGTTGTTTGGTACACTATATGCGGAACGGTTATAAGTCAAAAATTTCAATTTTTTATTAACATAATTAGTTTTGTCATGTTGATAACATCGATATTTGCTAAAATATTATTCGACGATTTAAATTTTAATGATTTTTTTATCGTTAAAAAAATTAACGAATATCGACATAGACGTGAACCCGAAGTCGAACGTACTTCAGAAGGTCCCTCATCAACACCGCAAGAAGAAGAAGTTACCGTCGGTTTTGTTTTTGTACGACAAACAACTCCAACAACGACAACCAGAAGAACGAAATACATAAAAAAAGAACAACGTTAATTATACATATATATAAATTTTTTAGTACATGTTTTTTTTTTTTTTTAACGGTAAAATTTTATTATGAGAGAAAAAAAAAAAAAAAAGAAAAAAAAAATCTAAAAAATTTTTGTGGAAAATTTTTATTTAAAATAAAAAAATAATTATTATTATTATCATCATCATCGTTATTTTTATAACGTGTAGAACGTATAGAAAAATACTAAAAAAAACTTTTTTTATTTATATTTAATCATCATTATTTAATAATTTTTTATTGTTACTAATTTTTTTTACGATGTTTTAGTTTTTAATAATAATAATAATAATAATGATATTAATTGTCACAAAAGAAACGTGGAAGCAGAAGCATCTAGAATTCTATTACAATCTCACAAAAATAATACAAAATGAATTTTTAGAAAATTTAATTGAAGAAAAATAAATTAACAAGATGGACGTTTAAATTTATTTAAAAAAAATTATTATTATTATGGATATTTCATCCAAAGGATCTTCTAGAAAAATCTGAAATCTCCTGTATATTCATGGAATTAAAAGTAATAATAATCATAATTTTTTGATTATTGTAAAAAAAAATTTAAATTTATTAGAAAAAAAAAAAAAAAAAAAAGAAAATTTATTTATATATTTATTTAATTAATATTAATAATAATAATTACGTAAATAAATACATAATACTTCACGTTTAACGTTAATATATATATATATATATATATATATATATATATATATATATATATATATATATATATATTAAAATTTTATGATAAAATGTATAAAATATTATTTTTTTAAATAAGAAAACGTGACAAAAATGTGTGACGTATTTATTATATATTTAATTAATTTTTAAATGGCGACAATAATACTAAACCAAAATAACTTTTTTCAGGTGTTAATACGACGTAACGACCGTGATGTAAATCTTTTATGGAAACGCTATCGTTCGATTGTAGAAGTATGGTGGTCGATATGCCGCAAGTATTGGATTTAATTTCTT